GCCTGTTGTATCGCTAAACCAGAGTCAAGCTATTCAAATTAGGAAGTAGTTACTTATTTTCATTCATCAAGAAGTTGTGAGGGTTATAAAATTACTGTTTGTGTTCACTATAAAGCATAGACTATTATGCAGATCTGGAGGAAAATGAGATTGGAGCTCTTCTTGAGGGTTTGCCATCTCTATTCCTCATCAGTTATGAGAAATAATGCAGTACATTCAAAGCCCTTTACCACAGCTTAGCGAGGTTTATTTAGATTTTCCTTTGTCTAAACAGAGAATCCTTTGGAGGACTTCTTACTTCATATCTCTTTCCAGGTAAACATTTCACCAATACTTTTCAACAGCTTTTCTGCAGATTTTAGCTTACTTTCAAATTTGCTTTTGCTAAAATGGGCCAGAATGTATCACACTTAAAGTTTCCCCATAAAAAAGAAAACCATTTATCCCATCAAGGAAGAAAGTTTGGCTAGGCTAATGTTATTTATTCTTGACAAATTTATATTCACTTTTTTATACTTGATTATGAAATTGTTAGCTTAATCATTTGTTATACTGTCATTCTCATTCTGAAAATTGAGTTGTTGGATCTCTCATTTGATAGGATCTCCTTTTCTCTCTTGTCTCTGTTTTGGATTAGCACTGCATTACCAGAATTTGCTACAGTTCAGCAAATCACAGTTTTTGCTGAAATAGGAAGCAAGGAAAGGAGTAAATGCTTTAGTAGCCATATATTTCATTATTTGTCCTCCATTATTGAAATTTGCAATATTGGCATTCATTATTCCCCTTCCCTTATGCTCATGTCATGTATTCTTTAGGATGATGAACTATATTCTAATGTGATTACTTCATCCTAATTACATTTCTGCCTTCAGAATATTTTTTCCTGTTAGAATTAGAACAACCAGAACATGCACAGAATAGTTACATCAGCATTTTGATGCAGTGACATTTTCAGCACCGTGCACATCCTGTACTGTTATTTAGCAGGTGTCTAGGTGAAGTCCTAACCCTTTAATATTCTGTTAGTTAATGAAAAGAAAAAGCCTCATCTCCTTCATGCTTACAATTATCTACCGTACAGTAGATCCATATTATTTTATCAACTCTAGTCTTTTCTCTCTTATTTTCAGCTACAGACATTCAACAAGTCATTTCAGACTGAAACTCTATGGAGTTTTGGAAACATTTTTCTTAGCATCTTCTTAATGCTACTTATCTTTCTGGAGTACTGTGTCCAGGTCTGGAGCCCCCACTACAAGAAAGACAGAGAGCTGTTGGAACTCTGTAAATAGAAAATAGTTGGGTGCTATCTGTGGTGATTTGCCTCCATTGTACTGCCAAAAACAAGCAGTTTTTTGATAGTATGGCAGTATGAATGAACAGTTCAAACAGGGTAAAATTAAATCAGCAATGTATTTTCCCAGTTTGGAAGAATGCAAACAAGAAAATGCTAGGCAGAATATTTTAGAAGTAAAAAGTAATAGCATTTCACATAGAATAACGGTTTTATTACTAAATACGTATGAAAATAATAAAATGATTTATTTTTTACATTCTGGTTCCACAGCATTTAACAGAGCCAGCCCAGGCAGTTTTCCAGTACATAGTGTCTTAGAAGGGTGTCAGATAATACGTAGCTATCAGATTTTCCAATTGCAGGTATTTCCCCAAAACTAGTAGTTGAAATACTTTATGTGACTCCCAAAACTGTAGGCCTTTCATATTTTTTTCAGTTATATTTTCTCAGTTTAATTCTTGCAATAACGAGTGCTAATGAGTGAAGCTGAACTGTGCTTTGCAAACTGTGTAGCTCCTTATAGCTGCAGGATGTGTAAAAACAATCATACTGCTAAAATACTCTTCTGTTTGCTTTCAAACCAGCACTGTCTGGGTGCGTAATTGGGATCATACTCCTGCCTATTCATCCCATACTATGAGAGAAGTTACTACTGGTGGAAGGGGCTTGAGATGTTGGTTGACAACAACAGCAATAGTCAACATATTTAACTAGGTTACACTCCCCTGTGATATTGATAATAGGATGCTGAACATTCCTCATACTTTTTAATAATTGTTTCAGTTTCATAATCATTAATGCAGGTCAGATCTTACCCATCTTAATCATTTCATTTGAAGTTGTTAGGAATACTTTCATAAAAAAAACTTGGATGTGTTCTATCATAAAAAGTAAATTACCTCATTAACCTAAGTTTGTGTCCAGGGAAGAGCCTATTCCAGTGCTTAAGAATCCTTTCTGTAAAGAAGGGTTTCCTGATATCCAGCCTAAACTTGGATAAGCTCTGGGAGGGCTTGAGCACTAGAGGACGTAGCAGGAATCAGACTGATCAAAAGCCCTTCTAAATCTTTGCTTGTAAAACACCTGCTGCATGAGCTGCAGCATTTCAGCTACTCTTTTCTTGAACGGGCATGGTCACTCATGCTGAGCTATGTGCTAATTTTGACGCATTCGTTGTAATGATTTCATATCCATCATTTATATAAAACTGATGGCAAGAGTCCGTGCTGCTTTTGTATGCAGGGATTGTGATTTACAGTAGTCAGCTATAGAACAGCCCTCAGCCTGAGGGCTGCAGGAAGTGCCAGGCATGGAGCACCCATCCACCCATGGTTACACTGGGCTCTGAGGAGAGCAGGACAGCTTCCACAGAGCAAACTGGTTTCTCAGCTGTAACTCCTTCCTGACTTTTATAAGTTCCATTTGAAGGAAACCTCCATCCCAGTGGCTAGGCATTTTTCCTCTGTTGTAGGGAGCAGAGCAACATTCTGATAGCATGTATCACATGAGTTCAAGTCCTTCTACAGAACCATCCAGAGAGGCTTGAATACACAGCTCCCATCTTCTGCCTCCATGTTGCTTCTGCAAATGATAGGTAAAGAGGCAGAAATCCTTAAGCTAGAAAAAGTCTTGTGTGTCTTCTAGGGACACGGATGGTTTCTGCTTCCAGACACAGCCAGGCTTAATGGCTGTCAGTACTTCTCTATTTAGGTAGGTGCTGATCAGGTATTTTGAGCTTTGTTACTGTAAAAACGTTAAGACTTCAGAGCAGTGAAATGCTGCTTCTACTGACAATACTCTAACCGCTGCACTGTGCCTCTGGGTTTTATATAGGAGCTCTGTGTGTGGATTTAAATCACAGGGTCAGGCTCTACCAACTTTTGCTTAGCACTCATGACAAAGAGTAGAAACATCTGACTATGGAAAAGCAGCTGTGCTTTAAAAACACAATTTTAAAAATGTTCTCTGGAACATTTGATCTGAAGATGATTTCTACTTATACATTGTTTCCAGAGGTCTGTTTTACTTCCCTTACTCCTTGACTATGAAGACGTTTGTATGATTGCAGAATCTAAGCTTCTTGAGTGATTCATCTGCTCCTGCTCTTTATTGTTATGAAATCACAATCCTCTGTGACAGCATAATAACTTCCATGGCAACTGCCTGTGATGTCACAAACAGGAATTTAGGATTTCAAAAGCTGTATTAAAGTCCCTACCTTGTAATAAACATCTCATGTCCAACTAAACTCAATAACTAAATGGGGGCAGAAAATACATACTATAGTAATGGTATAATATAATATACATACTATAGTAATGGCTCTACTTAGCCAAAATGCTTATCAAAGGTTTCTGTGAGATGGTGACAGCCTTTCAGTGTTTTTTTTTAGCATAGCTTGCTGAGGAATATTTTGCATTTGAACCTAATTCTGGGCCACTGATATCTTGTCTGCCAAGTATGTAAAAAGATGCTACTCTAGGAGGAGGTGATTTGTCACATGGACATTTTGTATCTTTGCAAGGACTCGGGAGTGCCTTGGAGGTAATTTTGCTGTCTTGCTGTCTCTCCTGTAATAGGACACGCTGTCATTTCCTTAGAGCATGCGGAGCTTTTAATGCCCTGGTGTTTGGACACTCTCTGGATAAAGAGTTGGGAGAGATGTTCCTTCAGTTCCTTGTAAGGCAATGACTGCACCTTGTTAAGCATAAAGAACAAAACCAGAAATTAGAAAGCAAACTAGAGGTGCTGTGCTTGTCTTTTGTTAGTGCTGCTGGCTTGGTGCCCAACTATGTCAGAAAAAAAAGAAAGTTTCTTTCTTTAGAAATTCAGGGCATTGATTAATGCTGTGTTAGCGTCATCAGACTGAGGAGAAACACTCTGCCATAGATGCCTTCTCTGGCAGCAAGGGCTTGGAGGGCCAAGTAAGATTTGACCATAATCTCTGACCAGAGCACAGGGTCATAAAAAAGAGACCCTCAAAGTCAGAGCAGAAAAGTATAAGCTTCAGTACCGAGGTAAGCCTATTCATGTCTCCAGAACAAGGGAGAGCTTTAAAAATGAAAATAGCAAGGACAGTCCTCTAGAAGGCTCAATACATTCCCGCAGTGCTCTTTCTTTCATAGTTATTTAAGCATCCTCCTGAAGCTCAGGCATGTGACACTGACTTTTATAACATATGACAAAGATAAAAGAATGACACTCAAAGAAAGAAGCCTTAAACAATGTGGGATGCGCTTCTCTGATGTTTGCAGAGCTTCTCTCCTCTCTCTTTCTTTCACAGGATTTTCAATGTGAACAATTTAGTAAAAATAAGTAGTAAAAATAAGATGGTATTAGCAGAACAGAGATTGAATGGAGGGAAGGGAGGAATAAGCAGTATGTCAGAGGAGGAGCAGTAATAGCTCTGACCTCTCAAGGTGAGTGTGTATTTGCCCAGGGCACGGATTTCAAACTGACTCCACATGCCCTATAAGTGAATTCTCTCTCCCCTCCTGGACTTCATATTCAGCTCCAGAACTGAAATCCCAAAGCTGCTCATGTAAGAAGTAGCAGGCAGGTACAGTATATCTCTAAATTTTGGCAAACTGGTGAAAAATCATTTACAGAACATGAACAAACCTCCTTCAAATAAAGTTAAAGATAAGTGACTTTTCCCTCTTCTTGGTTTGTCTAACCACTGTAATGCTGTTTATTGCAGGAGTGATTCGTGAGAGTTACCTGAAGGGTCATGATCAGCTGGTGCCGGTCACCCTGTTGGCCATTGCAGTAATTCTAGCTTTTGTAATGGGGGCCGTCTTTTCGGGCATCGTAGTGTACTGTATCTGTGACCATCGCCGCAGAGATGTGGCTGTTGTGCAGAAAAAGGAGAAGGAACTGACCCACTCCCGCCGCGGCTCCATGAGCAGTGTTACCAAGCTCAGTGGCCTCTTTGGAGATGCTCAGTCCAAAGAACCAAAGCCTGAAGCTATCCTCACACCTTTGATGCACAATGGCAAGCTGGCTACACCAGGTAGCACTACCAAGATGCTAATCAAGGCTGACCAGCATCATCTGGACCTGGCTGCCCTGCCAACCCCAGAGTCCACCCCAACCCTGCAGCAGAAAAGGAAGCCCAGCCGTGGCAGCAGAGAGTGGGAAAGAAACCAGAACCTCATCAATGCCTGCACAAAAGATATCCCCCCAATGGCCTCACCCGTGATCCCAACTGACCTGCCACTCAGGGCTTCTCCTAGCCACATTCCTAGTGTTATGGTTCTGCCTATTGCCCAACAAGGCTACCAACATGAGTATGTTGACCAGCCAAAAATAAGTGATGGGGCTCAGATGTCTGTGGAGGACCAGAATGCCACTCTTGAGTACAAAACTATCAAGGACCATCTCAGTAGCAAAAGCCCCAGCCATGGGGTTAACCTGGTGGAAAATCTTGACAGCATGCCGCCAAAGGTACCTCAGCGGGAAGCCTCACTCGGACCCCCGAGCACCTCCCTGTCTCAGAGTGGCCTGAGCAAGCGGCTAGATATGCATTCTTCTGCTTACAGCGTGGACTACAAGAGAAACTACCCTACAAACTCACTTACAAGAAGTCACCAGGTGTCGACCCTCAAAAGAAACAACACCAACTCCTCTAACTCATCACACCTCTCTCGAAATCAGAGCTTTGGCAGGGGTGACAACCCACCGCCAGCTCCGCAGCGGGTGGACTCCATACAAGTCCACGCTGCACAGGCACAGGCCATGACTGTATCACGACAGCCGAGTCTCACCACGTACAATTCTCTGACCAGGTCAGGGTTGAAACGCACGCCCTCGCTAAAGCCAGATGTACCTCCCAAACCTTCCTTTGCTCCGCTCTCCACATCCATGAAGCCCAATGATGCGTGTACATAATCACAGTGGGGTGGGTGGGGGGAGAACAGCAGTTAAGCAGAAGTTGCCCTTGAAAGCCAGTGTTCTGAAACTGCTCCTCTAAGAAGATGGTTGTTGCAAGTGAGGACGTGTTGTTTCTGCTCTCTGGGAAAAGTGGAATATTTTTTTAACCCGAGCCATATGACCTATGGTTGAAGGTTTGCAATCGCAGGACTCGCCCCCACAGACCTTCAGTTCTTTGCTTAAAGGACTAGCTCTCCATCACAAACATTGAGCCAAAAGCACACAGGTGAAAGATGACTGTGACATTTCACCCCCCCCCCAAACTGCAAAGTGCATTCCTGAACTGGGAAAGAGTGCTCTGGAAAGCAAAACCAGTAATTAAAAACATAATTAAAATAAAAATAGAAAAAAAAAAAAAAAAAAAAAAAGGAAAAGGAAAAAAAAAAGAAAGAAAAAAGAATCCATTGATAAAGCTAACTGTGACTTAACAATGGCAGAAGTTTACTAAGTGCAGGTACTGTGAAATGCCCACCAGTGTTACAGCCATTTGGTTACAGCAGTTATAATGCCATGCTGGGCAAACTATGTCATAGATTTCTGCTACCTTTCTCTTTTAATGAGTAACGTGACTGTTAACGCAAGTAACTCCTCTTATTTATTGTTCAACTTTTGTTTTTCCTAAGGAAATGACTTCCACATATCATCCTGTGAGCAGTTCTTCAGAGAAGTACCTTGAAAGTTATACCTATTTAACATGAAACCCGTTAACTGGAGTAATTAAAACTTTTATTTTTCCAATAAATTCACTGAGTTAATTAAGTTGGAGCTGGAATTCTGAACTTTGTGCCTGGACTGTCTGATTAGCTGAAAAAAACGGGGATATCTATTTAAATCTCTCAGCTAATTAGCTGGCTTGGCCTCTGACCTAAGACAGCGACAAACAAATACCACAGGTTCATAACTTGTAATGCAACTGCAAGAGAAACTTTAAAAACTGCACATTTGTGCGCCATTGCTATCAACATAGCTTTGTCAGTAGCTAATACTTTCCGTGACGGCACCAGCTTGTGAATTGCCATCTCATTTCACCTTGCATGTGAGACGGCAAACGAAATCCTCAAACAGTGTGAACTAATTAATATGCCGGCTGTTACCATGCATAAATTATGGTCTTATCACACGGGTTTTTCGTGGGAATATATCTGTGAATAGCCTGTTTTCTTCCACATGTAAATTTGTGCCTTACACCCTCAGTTGTGTATAATTGTGAGCTGTACTATGTAAAAAACCTTTTTCTTTTTCCCCTTGGAGTAATGCAAATATTTATTGGTTCTCCCTCCTCTGCGCCCGCTCGAGAACTGGAACAAAGGCATTCGAAGAAGAATGCGGCGGCTATCAGCATCACCCCGCAACCCTTGCTAGACCAGGCCAGTGCCATCCCCTCTGGGTCTGTTCCACTTTCCAGCCGTGCCAAGCCCTCTCCCCAGAGCACTCTCCCGCACTGCCTTGCAGTTCCTGCCTCCCCCCGCCCAGCAACCGCTCTCGTGGCAGCAGAGGAAACACCAACACCTCATCCTTGGGGACAGCATGTCATCCATCTGCAGAATCCATCACCGGGGCAAAAGGGGCTGTGCCCTGCAACCAGCCCGGCAGCATATCCTGCATCACACCGGGCACACGGAGCTAAGCCGGGCAGGCAGACTTCTGCTGCAGTGACCTGCTTCTCTGCGAAGATGCTGCATGTACTCCCCTGGGGAAAAAAAAAAAAAAAAAAAAAAAACACGTTTGTTTTTTTTTTTTCCTTTGTTTCTTTGGTGCGACTGTGCATGTAGCTATGTGGGAGTGTGCGCGCGCACAGGTGTGTGCGTGTGTGTGTGCGCGCGCGGGCGTGTAAGTAAGTCCCTTTTCCACTCTTTCAGTTTATGAAAAAACAAAACAAACAAAAAAAAAAAGTAGATGTGTTTTTAATTTGTTATGATAACTGTGTCAACATACTGTAGACAAACGATGGGGATCGCTTCTAAGCTTTTTATATATATATATATATATATATATATCTACTGAACAGTATGTTTGAGTAAGGTGGTTGTTTCTGTTTCAATTTGCTTTTTAAAATTTTATACTCGCATTTGCTTTCCAGGATTTTGGTTTTGTTTCTGAATGACTGAAAAGACAGATTTCAAGTCCGTTAGCTTATAGATGGTATATATATAAAGTCTGAATGGTTTAGACCAAAGTGTGTAACAAGGGTGCTTGCATGTGATTTCATTTCATCATGGTTTCTTTTATGACACAGTTTTGTTCACCTTTAGTGAACTATGCAGACTGGATTAGATAGATCTGTATCCAGAGCAATGTTGTTGATTTAATAAAAGCAAACAGAAAAGAAGAACTTTGAAAACCATAGGTAGCAAGGTCATTTTTGGAAAGAACCGACTCACAGCCTTTTCACCAGGCTCCAAACCCCCCGAGTACCAAATGCACGGGTCCATTGCTATGACTTGGCAGAGTGTTCTGTCAAAACACAGAAATGAATAATCACAGCAACAGCTCTTGTGGCGATCTGCCTTTGTAACATACATTGTATCCGCTACTCATTTGACCTTGAAATGCCCATTTTGTATTAAATGGATCTTTTGTTCTCATTCTCCCGCTCCACCCTTTCTTTTGAGGGGGTTCATAAGCCTATGTGTGCCTTTGCTTTCCACCCTTGCTATACACTGGTAGATGCAACAGATTCAGACTCTCATTTGCTGTAAAGTTGTAGAGTATTGTGATGTCACCAGTTTTCCTTCATTTCCACATCCCCGTAACATCATATTCACACCTTAATGTACGTTGTAAAAAAGAAAATGAAAAGGAAAAAAAAAAAAAAAAGAAAATGAAAAGAAAAAGAAAAAAAAAAAGAGAAAGGAAGGAAAGAAGACGAAGAAAAGGGGAAACAAAAGCTCTTGATTACATATGGTAATAAAACCAGACTGTTCTACCTTATTTCTTGTGCCCTAGTTCCTTTGTTTCTGTGAGGATCCATCATTTTTATTAAAAGGTTCAAGAAAGAAAACTGTTGTTTTTAGTCTCTAACAGAAAATAACTTGACTTTAGAGTAAAGTGATGGTAATTAAAAATTGAATCACACATTTGCTCTCCCTCTATTGATATCCCACATTTTATTAGCTTGTTCATTATCAAATATTTATGGCAAACTTGGTGGTTTAACAGATCAAGGCAGGGATTTAAGCACATGTGGCTCACCAAAATAGATCATCCTATAGATGTGACTTCATCTCCAGATTATGCACATTAATAACGCCAGAGTCTGTGTTTTCTTCTAGCAGGCATAGATCTATTGCACTTTGTAGGCCTAATTTAGAGGATGTTGCCTGAGACTTTAAGTCTGCAAGATGTTAGTAAACAGATAAATAACAAAGTGCATACTATCTCTCTAGTCCTGTCAGTGATTAAAACATACCTCTATTCTCTGAGCTGATTTTGTGCTTACATACAGCAGCTGAACACTCAGCTATGTCAGTGGCTGGCCTTGGTGATTTTGTTTTGTGACACAAGCTTTCTGTGATCACCTAGAAACAAGGAATTGGATTGTAAAATTTACCCCCTGTACTCTGAGGTCGCACATGGGTTTTGCTGCATGGCCAGGGCACACCTTGCTCATAAAAGCCTTCACCCATCTCACACTGCAGATGGTATGAGTCAGGCTCAGCAGAAAGTGGTGAAGTACTAGCATTTCTTGTGGAGCAGGAGACCATGAATTTAAAAAGAGATCTCAAAAAGCCTTGGCACACTCTCTCATCAGTGGAAATCAGGAGGCCCTGGAAAGTTCCATCTCCCATTCTCCCCTGAGACTCACCAGTCACTGAAGACAGTACCAGCTGGTGGCCTTAGGGCAGCAGAGAGGAGCGAGAACTGAGCCTCACCAAAATTTTTCAGTGCTTCACCCACAGACATCTCTAATTTCACCTCAGGTTTAGCTTTCCTTCCAGCAGAGGTATCCAGGCATGCTAGCATGCAGAGGCACGTGGGGTTGATGTTCCCCCAGCAATGGACCCTAGTCTGGAGACCAAGGACACTGCGTCTGGCTCATAGCGTTCCACAGGTGTGCATGAGGCTTGTGTGCTCCAGACTGGAAAAGGAAGGCTCTCCAGGTTCTCTTCAGCCCACAGCTGGCCCCTTTGATATTACTTTGTCCAGCTAGTTCTGAAACACATCACCCAAGCAGCACCTAGGGAAACTATTCAGTGACAATACCTCTGTAGTACTATTAATGTTATTCTATAGGCAACTGTAGATGGATGCTTTGTTGTTCCCAGTTCCTTTTTTTTTTTGTTTTTCTGAGCTCAATACTCCCTGGTCCTGCTGAAGGTGCTCGCCAACTGTCTGCTTCATTGCCAGATGGTCTCAGTTATTCCCATAGATCATGCCAGGCTTAATGGAAGTGACCAAGTCAGCCTCCAGCAGTGGCACTGGCTGTCTCTTTTGCAAGGCTCATCCACCTGCATCTGGTGAGAGAGAAGTCATGTCTAAGCATGGACATGAAGGAAGAAGTGCAGGACAGGGATAAAGGAAGGACACAGGGCATCAGATCTCACCACCCTAATGGGGCCATGGCCTGCAAAGCAGCAGGATGCTGACAAGGATGGATCCCTCTGCTGAGCACCAACAGCTCTTCCAGGGAAGAAGTGTCATCAACACTCCAGATGATCCAGTGCTGTGGCTTTTTGCAGGGGAGAAAAACCTCTGCATTAAATGGACGCTGAGATCCATCCCCTGAAGGAGATGCTTGTACTACCCCACAGAAATTCACTGTGGTTGGCTTGGTCAAAGAGGAAAATAGCCAGGTGGAGCAGGTGTGCTTTGAGCAATTCAAACAGGCTAATGTCACCCTGTTCATCACAGTAATGGTACTCATCTTGATCTCGTTTAGCATCTAATTGAGGATGCACAGAAGTTCCTTTACAATCAGCTTTAATTTGAAAAAATATTTTTATACAAAATGTAGCCTGGCTGAATTACTCAAAAGCAACAGGTCTACGTAAAGAAATCCTATTTCTCCTCCCCACTCTCCCACACTTTTTTAGACTGCTCCAGAGTGTAATTTCAAAGACAATTTTGCAAGTCCTGTTCCTTTGTAGCTTCAATAGCAGAGAATATTCTGCAACTGAAAGATCCTTTGGTGAAAAGGAATAGGCAGAGCCCTGCTTCTAACCCACAAAAAGCACGGGCAGTTCAGTGCCATTTATTACCAGCAGAATAAATGATTTTACATGCAAGGTGGTGCCACAGCAGTGATGCACCAACACTGGAGAAAATACAGCGGTTTGGCCAAGAGATCTAATCTGGGGTGTGACTCCACTTCATTCATCTTGTCACAAAGTCAGCCAGGGCAGGATTGCT